TTTATTTGGTACCCGGTAGATGATAGAGAAGGGCTCTTCAGTGCTGGCTCGTGGCCGGTTTGGACCAGATGTTCCAATATCGAACTGTTGATGGTTTTTACTACACCTTTACTTAGACATAGCGGGAGATGTTCTTGAGTGAGCACGAGAAATCAAGTTCCTAGAGCCACGGCCAATATAACTCGCTCCACAGGCGGCGCAGTTGAATTGTTACATACAATTTGAAGTGGCCAGCTACTCAAGGTACTTCATCTTTCAGTCGAGGTAGCATCATCGGTCGTGTAGAGAATAATACGTGTATTTCGCCAGCATTAAAAGTTCTTCGAACTGATTTTCTTCGTAATTATTTCGCATAATAGACTTCTAAGTTTTTCAATGAATGCATTTAGGCTAGCCGTAGTCAGAGGCAATTTTCCTCCTACTTTCACCCACCTGCCATCAATATGTCACACGTTTTAGACAAGATGATATTGATATTGATACGACAGTTAAAATTAAATCTGATCACCATCAAGCTTTCGTGATCCTACTCCAGCTCATTCCAGAGAGGAAAGTGGCAGTTGGTAGTAAGCGATACTGAGAAAAAAATAACTAACTAAGCTTTGATTACTGTAACAACTGTCTGATAGTTTTCGTTAAATCTGTGTTCAGATTAAGCGACTTTGTTTCAAGCTGAGATTTTCCATCTAATCCATCTTTTTACATCATCTATTTTACAACCCCAAAAGTTTCCTTCTCATATTAATAAGGTGACAGAATAATCGATCTAAAATATTTATCGACATGATTGATACTTATTGGAATAATAATTCTTTAATTTTAAGTTTTTTTCCGCCTGACCTATATGTCATCGTCCTAACATTTGCGTATCCTCTTTTAACCTAATCTTAGTTTCGGCTGACTCCTGTTCGGAGTTCTACACGTGGCTGTTGGATAATAATATGTTATTTACCTTCTGCGTTTTTGTTTGAATAGAGCGGCTGCTTAACACGGAACTGTGTGTGTATGTGGGAAATGTGTATTGTCCTGTTTGAATCTTGCAAGCATCTCTTTTTGATCCCATCTTGTTGAGTACAATCTTCTTGATTCCCTAGTATTTTATGGTAGTTTTTTTTAATTAATTAGTTTTGTTGTTGGACACTAGTCAGTTGCTAGTGAGATGTGTCTAGTTCTTTGCATGGCACAATGTGGCCACCATTCTAAGCGGCTCTCCATCACGATGCACTGTTAGTTGTTGATATTAGATGGTTGGAGGCAATCGGCCACAGGAAGCCTTCAACCTAGGTTTCGTGCTAATTGGCACTCATCAGGAAGGTGTATCTGCAACCTTGAAGGAGCTCATGTCTCTTCTGAGATTCAAACCAATATCACCCAGTGAGAACTGCAGTCATAGGCGTTACCACTGAGTTATTCGAGCTCATAGTTGACCTCCTGTACGACTCTATTATATACTTTTGATTGGGAACTAGTTTATAACTAGTATAATGTGTCTACTCCTTTGTTGTACTGAGTGTATTTTGTACCTGAGAAACTTTAAGGCTATACAGGTGCCGGACAGCAATGTTGAGGTAATTATGTACTTTTGATATAAATAATTATTGTTCAGTAGTTCAACAGATTCTGTTGTTGAGATATAAATTCTGACAATACATAACTGCTACGAGTTTGGTAAGCTGTACTGAAGACTACAATATTTTGGTTCGGTTATTATACCAAATGAAAGTAGATCATTTAAAAAAAATAAATAAAGGATTAAATACGAATCCAGTGAATTTTTATGAGGATATCTGGAGGATTTTTTGAATTTCTGCGGGCAATCAGGAAAAACTTATAATGCTGTCTCCTAAACTAAAATAAGGACCTGATTTGACCAATTTTAGGATTATCCTAGAAAGTGCCATCCGCAATTAGGCGTAAGAAAAGCATGAATGGTAATTGTAATTTTAATCTGACCTGAGGATCTAGTGAGGAGTCGTGACCAGTAGGGTGCAGCAGGTCGAGTGCGAGGACATATACTCGCTGAAAACATTGGCTAAGGGTCGCGCTATGTCATGGATTGGCAGAAGTTAGAATTCATGAACTAGCCACTGGATCAGGTCCCAGTGGCTTAGTGGTCTACGAGCTCGCCATGTAACCAGAAGGTCCTGGGTTCGAACTCCAGTGGGTGCGTTTTGCTGAAGAGTCCCAAACCAGGATGAAACAGCTGTCCAGTACTCCCAGGTTTTCCAATGGTTCTCTAACTAATGTCAGCTCATGATGAAAGCGGCAAGTAATTTGACTGTAATTATATAATCTTAGAAATAGCTAATTCGAATCAGAATCCTAGTTTAACTCTTTAAAATTATGTCAATAGGAAAATAGATTTAAATTATACTCTTGCTGAAATTTAACTCAGATTGTCTGTCAAAATGTTGATTTTCAAAAGGTAATGAATGACAAGAAATGCTATAATGCATTGTAAATTGTATAAGAATATAATCAAATTGCTTTGGTCATTTGGTTCTCACCAATGCACTGTTTGTGCATCGATGCTGCGATCTCTGTCTCACGTTAGGTGGTTTCACAAGATAAGTAATGTTGACGTTAGGCGTAGAGTGTTGGGCAAAGAGGGAAAATCAATCGACGAGGTTATAAAGTTACATAGACTAAGATGGCTAGGTCACGTGGTGCGCATGCCTAACCACCGCCTCCCCCGACGGGCATTGTTAGCTGATATAGGTTCAGGTTGGAAAAGAGCCAGTGGTGGCCAAACAAAAACATGGCATCAATCCATGAAATCCTTGACAGTTAAACTGAGTCAGGTAGGGAGATGCAGACTCCCGGGTTGGGGCCCTCGGGACTCTAGGAATCAATGGCTGGAGACAATAGGTGACATGGCTCAAAATCGTTGTCAATGGCGCAGATGTATTCAATCTCTGTAATCTTTCATATTCCTTTCTACCATTACCCATTCTGTTTCACTCTTATATCTGTCAAACTCTATAAATTCTCTTCACTCATCTTCTTGTCTACCTCTGTGCTATTTGGAAGGTGGCAACTCGAACTGCTGCACTTCGGTGCCAAGTTCTATGTTGAATCCAGACAGACAGACAGACGATGGCACAGCGGTAGGTTTCTCGCCAGCACCACGCATGTAGTTCGAAGTTCAATTCCTGGCTGACGCACTCCTTTACTTCGCTAAGCCAGTAATAAAAGAGGTAAAGAGGGGAGTTTAGACGTGAGGCCAGCAACTCCATCCCGCAAAAATAAGCGCCGCTGCTACCGAAACTTTAAGCCTCTAGCTTGAAGACCTATTTTCCACTGGAAACGTAAAGGAATAAAAACATGTACTGTTCACTGTATATATATATATATATATATATATATATATATATATATATATATTTCCTTCACGTTCCCAGTGGAACGTAGGGCTTCAAGCTAGGGGCTTAAAGTTTCTGTAACAGTGTTTATTATACAGGATGGAGTTGCTAGCCTCATGCCCAACCTTCCCTCTTTACCAACATTATTTCTGGCTTAGCGAGGTAAAGGAGTGCGTCTGTGGCCGGGGATCGAACCCCGGACCATGAGCATGGTCTGCGAGTGTCCTAACCACTATGCCACCGATGCACAGCACTGTTTACTACATTGTCTGAATACACATATGCCTCAACATTTATATTTCAGGTACAGTGTGTCTCAGCGTGATGAGACGTCAACTGCACTAGAATCTCTTGAATCTCATCAGTACTGTAAGGTCAATAATACGCTTTGTATGGCAACCTATGTGTTTTGAACAGAGATTATTATACCCACCACTCTTCACAAATAAACATTTATAGCTATGCTTAAAATAAACGATATATCCAAGCAAACCAGTTGAATATGATTACCGGAAGAAAGAAGCTTTGCTGTACTCCTTATTAGAACAGTCTAACTGGACAACCTGACATAAAGAATAAAAATTCCCAATTTGCAAATTACTTCATGATTAATGGTCAACTCAGTTCCAAGGGAAATTTCACCACAGCTCTTTTGAAAAACCCAAATTATTCGCCAATTAATTTGCAAATTATGAATCTGCTTCAATGCATTACGAGTTTACTCAAGTGATGATTTGAACTGATTCAGCTCACTGAATGGAGTCTCAAACCCCAAAAAACCACCGCCGATGACTTCGCCCCCAAAGAAACGAAACGCCCTTTTCACTTTTTATAACACTTTCACCTGGTTAACAATCACTAGTGGTAAGTGAATGGCATCCCACTAATCACATCAACAAACCAGTAGTATGTATAATCTGACATATCACTACTATTTTGATTGGACGCTAGTAACTAGCGTGATGTGTCTAGTCCTTTCTTTGGTGCAGACTGAATTCTCTCAGTCAGGTTTTGCAATGTGGTCACCATTCTAGGTAGCTCGCCATCACGGTGCACACTGATTTGATGATATTAGATAGTTTGAGGCAATCGGCAGGAATATCTACAGGGGGTCAATTGCGAGCCCGAATACCTCGGTGGTAACGTCTCTGACTGCAGTTCTCACTGGGTGACGCAGGTTCGAATCTCATAAGGGACATGAATTCCTTCAGGGTTGCAAATACGCCTTAATGGCTAGTGAGTGCCAACCAGCACGAAACCTAGGTTGAAGGCTTCCTGTGGCCGATTGCCTCTAACTATCTAATATCACTACTAAAATAAAAAATGAATGGATTTACGCATTATATCATTTACCCACCTATTAAAAACTATTGCCATAATTGTAAACCGTATTTCATCTTCATGAACCTTCTGTATTTTGGTGAAAGTAGACTATTCTTGAAGACAATGATCTGGGTTCACTCCCCAGCCGAAGTACTCTTAAATCTCAAGTTACCGGTAGTAAACCTGGAAAAGAAAGAAGGTTAGACGTGGGTCTAGCAACCCTATCCCATAAAAACAACAAGTACTACCACTAAAACTGCGAAACCTAAAAACTTGAAGCCTCGTGCTTCACTCAGGAATGGAAAAAAGGGGATATTACTTCAGTATTTCAGTGTATTTATTCAACTACATCAAAGCAATTCAATCGAATATCACATTTTTATTAGTAAACCAGATTCGAATGCTTTTACCATAAGACTAAAAATTTGTTTGTTTTCTCTCTAATCAGTATTGAATTCATCTGTAGCCGCGAGTACAACTAACTCATCACGACCAACATGGACAAAGTGAACATTTTTTCCAAGAATATAACAACCAGTTGACCTCAACAAACTGTTAAGAACCACAAGCGATTATCTTCAATATCAGCTAAAAGTATCGGTGATGGATAAACAAAATGAAATGAAAATATATCCATATCTGTTGTACTGGTTACGTTGCCTGAGAAATTAACATACTGAAATGGAATTTATGTACACCACCTGAACTGTAAGGAATAAATAATAATACGAAGAATAGTAAAAATTTCCTAAAATGAAAATAATCAAATTGTTTGTTTCTTTTTTCTAAATTAGTGTGCATTTTATAAGGAGAGGTTGTTGACTTTGCTTTATTATTTTATATCACAGATTTGTATAAACATGCAAGTATAACCCATGTAACAGTTGCATTCTCTGCATAAGAATAAACACGTACACCAAGTGCAAATCGTACATGATCACCCGACAACCAAGTATATCCCGACACAGTTGTGAGCGTAGACAACTACGTAGTATCCGTTGTGGATTGCAGTGAAACAGCTGAAGGACAGCAGAGAAAAAAAGCAATTTACAAAGTGAAAAAACTGTGAACGTTTTATATTCTTGCAAACAGTATTATACACTGTTAAAAAGAGTCGAGAAGTCCAGTGACTTAAACACATACACACAAACGCCTACCTGTTAGCGTGTATAACTTCAATGGCAAGCTAAGTCCAATTCTGTGGCTTTGGTAATCTCCACAAGTATGTTGCTGTCAGTTTAGGTGGTGTCAGAACAAGACATATAAGTGAACAATATTGTTTTCAATTAGATCTTCTTCAGGCTTTACTCTAATTTACATAGATTTACATATAAAAAATTTAACCAATGACGGTGATTCTGTGGATCAAATAATTATAATGATGATGTGGTAAATGTTTCGAACAAAATTAATGACGATGATTATAGTGATAACAAAATATTGATAATAACGTTTATGCAGGTGATAAGAATAATAAAGTTAGTATATGTATATATGTAGACAATTCAATAAATAAATGAATTAGGCAAATCGACGGTATTGCCATGTGTTCTTCACTGGGGCCAATTTCGGCAGATTTCTTTCTTGCCAAGATTGAAAATGGTCCATTGAAACAAGTAATAGAGAAAACCGATTCTTATTTTCCTATGTTGATGATACGTTTATTATTCTTGATGTGAAAGCTGACAAGAATGTAATGTTCTGGAAGTTTAATGATACACATCCATCGCTCATCTTCACTTGTGAAGAAGAACATGATGGAAGACTACATTTCCTTGATATCCAATTGAGCAGAAGAGAGGATGGTTCACTCAAGAGAGACGTCTATAGAAAACCTACATCTGTAGGACAATATACACATTTCCTCAGTTTTGTACCAATCCGATATAAAATCAATTTGGTCAGATGCCTCACCAATAGAGCAAGACGTATCTGTGCAGTTGACTACTCAGAAAATGAGCTAGGATAAATCCAAAATACGTTGGTCCAAATGGGTTATCCTAGTAGATTTGTAAGAAGACACATGAATACCAGATACAATAAAGAAAAACCGACAATAGTTAAAAAGAAACAACTATTCATGAAACTGCAATTTAATGGGGATGTGGCTAGCGAAGTCTTACGCCTGAGATTATCGAGAGCGATGAAACGGACTTATACTGCCTCCACCCTTTGTTTTCCAGCCGACCAATTTTGATTGCTCAAATGAAAGATAAGCCACCTAGCTGTGCCACTTCCATGAGTATCTATAAATTTAGTTGCTCCTGTGGAGAAAGCTATATAGAGCGACCAACTAGACAGCTTAACAAACGCATTAATGATCATCTTCTTTCATAGTTCAGAAAAGATCAAATAAAATCCATACGAAGTTCTATTTCGGCCCATTTGATTGATAGTGGTCACCAAGTGGACAAAAATAGTGCCTTCAAAGTTATCTATCGCATTCGATCGAGTCTTTCGAACGGAATCAGAACCCGTCTTTTACACATAGCCGAAGCTATGGGAACTCGAGGGAATAATAATCCTAGTCTTTGCATACAAAAGAAGTTTGTTCTATCTTTGTCTCTCCCTTGGCCTAAGTGAATTCTATTCAAAACCCTCCCACCCTTTCTTATTTTCCATCTCTTTCGTATTTTTATGATATTTATTTAAACTCTGATTATCGTTCCATTTCACCTTTTAAGATTTGACGTAATTTCTTTATTTATTGGATTGTCTACATATACACATATACTAACTTTATTATTCTTATCACCTTCATAAACCTTATTATCATCAATATTTTGTTATCACTATAGTCATCGTCATTAATTTTGTTCGAAACATTTACCACATTATTATTATAATTATTTGATCCACAAAATCACCGTCATTGGTTGAAATTTTTATATATAAGTCTATGTAAATTAGAGTAAAGCCTGAAGAAGATCTAACTGAAAACAATATTGTTCGCTTATATGTCTTGGTCTAATATTATAAATGGGGATATTTAAAGATTATAATAAATCAGTCAAATAAAACTGGTAACAGTGTGAATATAGTGGTACTAATATACTTTTATGTTAAAACAAACTGATCTTCTACAATGATATATACTCCCTGAGTGATATCAGTCACAAAAGGATTGCATCAGTCCGTAAGTTTTCCATACTGAATGAAACACAACAGCACGAACAAGCCGTATAGTAAGTAGTGCGCCTACAGTCATCCGTGAATCAAATCTATCTTCTCTACATTGGAATTTTATTAGTCTTGCCATCAAAGAAATGATTCATAATGCTTATATTATTATGCATGAATTTATGAGATTCCTGGTCAATCGTACTGTGGCGTGTGATACTTACAAGAAGTTGTAGGCAGTATATTGTGTGTTGCTTTCTGTAAGAATCTTGAATAGTGATGACAGAGACTAGGTTGAATCGAAGAAAATTGTAAAATCGATAATGGAAGCATAAAATGAAGACAAAAGAAACAGGACACGAGTACTTAGTGCAGATTGGAGTTTCAAAGTGAGATTGTTGCATTTCGCCATTACACTATGTAAATTTTGTCTAATAAACAATACTGATAATAAATACTTCCATGTTCAATCGTCAACATACGAGGTTTGAAGACGTCTAGACGCATTACGGCTTTATCTGGATATCCAAGGCTAATATTTCACTGTGGAACAATTTCTGTGAATGTTTTTTTCTTATTTGATTCCTGGGACAATGCATAATGCTCAGCATTAGCCTCAACAGTCTGCCTGTGTGAATTATGCTGGACGGAAGGTGTTTCGAGTTGGAAAAAAGATCTCAGAATAATAGAATGAAAAATATTACACTGGTTTATGAGACTACTAACTGTTGGGAGGATTCATATGAAGAAATGACTATCTGCGTTTACTTTAAAATGTTTGCAGAAATGATTCAAAAATCTGTCTTTCAGCTGTGAACTATATATCGTTATACTACTTCTGTGTATCTAATTTTCTGTGTTAAAATGTCTCCGTCTGTCGCTTCTTTTCTAAGTCCTGTTTTATTGAAGCTACACCCACCTTAGTTGTAACGAAGAAGAGCGACCTGAGTTGGTACTTCTTTTTTGCGGACCCGTTGTCTAACATAAAACTGTGTTAAGACTTACTTTCTAAATTAGTATTCACACAAAGGGGTATACAGTTTGATAACAGAACATCTGGTGAATTCTAGACAGTCAGCTCCATTTGAAAAGTCCATCAAAGCTATATACAAGATCCAATCAAGCCTACCAAAGAGAGTGAAGTCAAAACATCTAGGAATAGCTGAGGCACTGGATATCCAAAGACTCAAGCCCACTCTGTGTCCAAAAGAAATACACCCAACCATTGTCCCTACAATAGGCATCATAAGTCCGAACCTCTTAATTTTTCAGTAATTGTACATCCACTGCTAACTGGTTTGATAAAAGGCTTACTTCTCATAAGTAATTGTAACTCCTTCGACTACCTCACATGGCTAGATAAAAGATTCTACAATCAAAGCTAATGAGCTGCAGACCTTTCTAGTTTTTCATATCACATCTCAGCCAGATGTACAGATACCAAAACTAGATGAAGCATTAGTAAAGCCTGATGGAAGTGTATTTCAACAAGAAAACTCTTCATTGCTTCCTAAGAATGACTACAATTAGACTGTACTTTCCTATTTTTTTTCTGTTAACAGGATCAAGGGAGATCAGAATTCATTTGTAAGTGACTCAAAAGAAACACTAGCTAATCCTGCTAGTACATTTTGAGTGGTAGTGCCTAATATCCACGTCTGGTGAGAAATTATATTTTTCCTTTCTACACAGAACTATCATATTATTTTCTAAATGACTTCCACAATTCAAATATGTGTAAAACTTGGACACTGTGGTAGTAAGTAATTCCATATTAGTTTGTTTATAGTTTTCTTTGTCCTTCCTATTTGTCGTAGGGGTAGTAGAATTTTCCAGATATCTGGGACAGGTGTTGAATCACGTCGATTGATTTATTAATTTCTTCATATGGTCCTGTTTGTATGTAACACAGTTATGAATAAAGTTACGAAATCCACAGCCGATCTTTTACACCGAATAAAAGCTGTTTCTAGGTGAGTCTAAGTGGTTTAATTTAATGCCCAAAACTAATAACCTCAGTAGGATGTTAGGTGTTGTTTAAGTTCATAAGGCAGGATACCCTATTAGGCCTAAATATGATTTGAGAAATTCATCAACTTATGAGTTACCTAAATATTTAGCCATGGTATTAAATCTCCTTAAAGACCACTCGAAATCTAGACTAACAAATTCTTATGAACTAAAACATAGATCAGATAATTTAAAATGAGATAATGACATTGTCAGTTTATATACACGTATACCAATAAATATGGCTATAGAAGCAGTCAGAAACGAACTCATTTCTGACCAATAACTGGAACTTAGGACGAAAGTGCCACTTGGGGACATAATGCTGGGAGTACAGCTATGCCTGACTTACACAGTATTTAAATTTCAAGGGAAAATATACAAACAAACTGAGGTAGTTGCCTTGGGATCACCAATATCCCCGATTGTAGCAGATGTATTCATGGATAGGTGGGAAAGCATAGCGATTGAAACGTTCACCCCGACCCGAAAATTATGCTGGAGGTATGTAGATGACACATTCACTGTACTTAGAACGCAGGATATAGATAGATTACTCGAACACATTAACTCAAAGGTGGAGGCAATTCAATTCACTTATGAACTGGAAAGTCAGGAAGGGGAACTTTCAGTGTTAGATTGCAACGTAAAAAGGAAAGCAGATGGGAAGTTAAACACTGGTGTTTACAGGAAACCCATACATTCAAACAGATATTTGGACTTCCGATCATCCCATCCTACGTCAGTGAAAATAGGATTGGTGAAATGTTTAAGTAACAGGGAACAAAAACTAAGTAGTACCGAGGAAAATCTAAGACAAGAAGTGAGGCATTTAAGAGAAGCTTTGAAACTTAATAATTACCCTGATAAATTAGTCAGAAAGTATATAGAGGAATGTAACAATAAGAATAAAATAAGTAATGATAGTAGTGATAGTAATAATAATAATGATAATATTAATATAAATGATGATATGCATGTCAAACATATGCAGGATAATGACCACCAACAATAAGGAATCTAAATCATCAGTAGTAATTCCATACAAGGAAGGAACCTCGGAAACCTTATGCAGAACTCTTAACAAGGCAGGATTAAAAGTGGCTGGCATGCAAACCCACAACCTCAATTAGAAACAAGCTTTGTCGGTTAAAGGATCCCGCCTGTGGAGCCTTTAAAACAAAACAATTTAGTTTATCTGATACCCTACTGGAATGATTGTCAGGTCAAAGTAGTAGACTGGGGTCAGTCAGACTAGCCGAGAAAAAATACCTAGCAAAATCCAGATTAGTTTATCCGAATAAGATAAGAAATCTAGAGAATAGTTTAGCCATAGATAGCACTACATGCAATTACACATAACCATACAATAAGATGGGATCGGATGAGTTTTAAAATCTAATGTCACAGGATGGAGGGAGAGTTTGATAACAGAAGCTTTGTTTATCGAATCAACTGCAAATACATGTAACAGGAATGATTCAACAGCTGTCCACCCAGATATCTGAAAAATTCTACTGCCCCAACGAAGACAAATAGGAGAGGACAAAGAAACCTATAGAACTCAAGTTTCGAAGTCGTGTGATTATAATTGATGAGATTATAATGAAGAATATATTTGGTTCGAAACGTAACCCAGTAAATAATAGTACTGTTTCACTCTGTGATACATCTAATAAACAAACTAATATGTATTATATTCTCTACAAAATCCTACAAATATTAAAACAGTTAATTACTTGGATAGGATAAGATTTAAATATAAAATCTTTGGGTACATAACGATGAATTGAAGAGATAATCAATTCATTTTCAAACTGATCATGTATTTCTCCAACATTATCATTTGTACAGTAATTCGACAATCTCTTTTGATCTGCTTCATAAGAAGATATTAACGGAAGTAATAGTTCTTCTAATTTATTGTCCCATTCCCAAAGATAATTATTATCACAGCCTAACTTATCCATACGCCATCTGTCAGCTAGACGACGTAGGTTTTCACGACATTGGAGTGTTATTTCACTGATATTTTGAACTGGTGGATTTAATTTTCTCAGGTATAAAGAGGAATGTTTATGCACAGTTTGAATTACTTCAGATGACATTGGACGCCATTGTGATGAATCCTAAAGGTTGAAAAAAACACATTATGTACAACATAAGTTAAGTCAACGATATAAAAGTCATTGATACAATGAAAAACAAAACATTTACACCAGTTTGCACGTGTATTGAATTATTTATCGACTCATTAGTTCCTTTTATTTAAGATGCATCCCTATGCAGGCAAACAGATGAGCACCGTATAAAAAACAGGACCTAGTGACACTACAACTTAATCACCTAAGTTGCCGGACCCGAAATCTGCACACCAAGTAGAAAATAACAGAAGGAGAAGCAAAAAGATAAAAATTCGATAACCAAATGTCGCAGAAATGCTATAGAATAAAGGAAATACAGGGAAGTGATGTTTTAGCTAAGAGGTAAATTTTGCACAAATGTATCTGATCAACTGAGATCAATCTTGAACCATATGACTCAGATCTTTATGTATTCACAAATATCTTTCTTAGCTGAGTATCTGCTACACTCATCCTTTAGAGGTTTAAATATTGACATGATGGCGAATATGTAGAGTATGGATTTTAGATGCTGTGCTATTAAATTTTTCAACGCCTAGGTTACCTTGGTAACAGGATTTCATCATGAGCTGACATCAGAAAACCATTGGAAAACCTAGGAGTACTGGACAGTTGTTTCGCCCTGGTTTGAGACTCTTCAGCAGCACGCAACCACCAAAATGCGTTCCAACCCAGGACCTTCTGGTTGCAAGGCGAGCTCGTGGACCATTAAGCCACTGGGACCCAATCCAATGGCCAGTCCATGAATTCTAACTTCTGTCAATTCACGATATAGCGCAACCGCTAGGCAATATCTTCGGCGAGTATTTGTCCTCACACTCGACCTGATGCACCCTACTGGTCACGACTTCCCACTAGAACCCCAGGTAACTACCTACCTGAACAGGACCAGTCACCAGTGAGCATCTCATTGATATTTAAGTATTGGTTTGTAAGGATTTGGTTGATTGGTTACAGGATTTCATCATGAGCTGACATGGGTTAGAAAACCACTGGAAAACTCACCATGGAGAACTGAAAAGCTGTTTCGTCCCAGTTTGGTAATCTTCACAGTACGCACCCATATTGCGGGGTTCAAACCCAGGACCTTCTGGTTACAAGGCGAGCGCCATATTCAGTATTACTTGATGAGGTGGTCAATTCGACACATTGTTTATAAGCTAATGTGGAAAACAACTTCTCTAATATATGACTAATTTATTGTTTCACGTCTATCAGCAAAACTACACAGTTTATACTCCACAGTGAATACGAAAACTTAGAATCACACAAAAAACACTGATGTTATACAGTGTAATACGAATAACCCTATAGATGCAATAAAATGAACTGAATTACCAACACAGAGTTTGGCGAAACAGTCCAGCAGTTCAAGTTACCACACATATGAAAAGCACACCTAAAAGGCAGAGGGACAAAACGCGATGAAACTACCATGGACTGTAATGTACGACAGAAAGAACAATTACATGAAGAACAATAAGAATTCAATGAATTCGGCAGAACACAAAGGGTGAATAAATATTTACGCCATTGAGAAAAATTTTGAGTCATGCCACTAAAAGTCTCCAGCCAGGTGGTTTACACACACACCCCTACATGACATAAAACAACAGTCAGAGGCCACATGAATAGGTTTCATATTTCTTATTGTCTAACTCTGTCCTATGTCAGCTAATAAGCTTATCAAAAATTGATGCAAGATACAACCTGTTCAAACTTCATTCGTATGAAGAATTTTTCATTTGGAAACTCACATATGTATAAAATCGTGTATGGATTGTAAACTCCAATTCGTATTTGCACAAGTACTTACTATTATTACATATCTAATTTAGCAGAAACCTCAGATACTGTTATATTCAGTTTAGAAGCTCATGTGTTACTGAACAAAGCACTTTACTCTATATGAAGTAACTGTAGGCCAGTTTTTTCAGCTTGCTTGAATAACTGACAATCTCATCAGTTGACAATCATATTTATTCATTATCAGCCTTAAACGAACTACATCAAGGAGAAATTTAGATGAATTCAAAATCAAATGAGATAACTAATACGGTTTGGCCAACTAGGCTCAGTTTTACGTAGACGATGACTGTAACTGGAAGGTCATGAGTTCAGATCCCAGTGGGTAGTATACTGATGAACAGTCCCAGGACGAAACATCTTCAGAGGCTATACAATCGTATTTATATTTCTATTAAAAATGTATAGTAGTCTATCATTGAGTAACAGGATGGGGTGAAATAATTGGTATGATTACTCAGAAGTGGCTTTAGAAGTAAAAGAAATAAAAGTTGTAAATTATGTAGTACTCAACGGGACAAAGGAAGAAATGGTTAGGAATTTGATAAGGTTAAAATTGTTATTAAGTGAGAATAAAGGTAAATGAGTGTCAGTTTACAAAAGGAACATATGAGAGTGATAATGGTGAATTAATTATTGAAGTAAAAGCAAACCAAAAGTAAAATTTAAAAAAATAAATTTATTTTACAGGGAAAGACTAGCGAAGACGTTAAGACCATAGTAGAATAAGAAAGATACTGGGCAAACTTTTTCTGTATACACAGATCAGGGTTGTACTGACGAACTGCCAATGCTTGCGCCATACACAAATGCCGAAACCTGACCTCCTTTGTACCATTTGGCCTCAACTTGTAAATAATTTTGAAAGACAATTCTGGTGGAGCTAAGTGGCTTGAATTCACCAAATGCTCGAGAATTGAGCTAGTAACTGCCTTGCATTGTTTTTTTTGCCAACCATGCCGCATAATGTTCAGATATGCGTTTGGAAAGTGTGCGCTTTATGCGTCTAATATAATTAAATGTATCAGTTATGTCACACACACACACCCTATCACTCAATAATAGACTAATATACATTTTCGTTAAATGCAAATACGAATGTATAGCCTCTGAAGATGATTTCGTCGATAAAGAAAATTCTCTTCGTTGAATTGTCTTTTATTTTCTTTAGGACGAAACACTTGTCCGGTACTCCGTGGTTTTTTAGTGCCTCCCTAACTGAACTCAGCTCATGATCAGACACGTAGGCAACCAATCACTGCAAACTGACGCTTGGATAACGATGACTGAAAGTGAAGGAAAGTTTAGATTTCATTACATTTTTGAAATAGTTGCATGCATGTTATGTTGCTGGTCGAGAATTTAATAGTCCTGACGCAAGAAAGACGGAAATCAGAAGACCACTAGGTTTGCGATGATACTTCTATATTCCAAACACAAGGAGAATGCAAAGTGTGGTATCACACCAAAAAAGTAGGTCACACAAGATTGTGAGAACGAAATATATATATGACCGTCCAGACAAGTGTGTGAACAATCAATAGACAGTCTTAACATGAATGGTTAATTATAATGGAGTGTCGATCCAAATATACATAGCAAAATATAGCAGACATGTCAACAACCACCATATATGGATATATGTCACCAAGCAACGGACTGTCAACAAACACTCATATTATATATAATATAAGGGGAATACACATTGTTAAAGGAGACAGGTTCATCAAAGTGAAATGGTCACAGACTAAGCGAGCAAACAGAAAAAGAGATCACCATACACACACGCACACATATATATATATATATATGTGGATACATACCAACGCAGTAGACACTGAGATTTTTACATTAACAAATAAATACAGTATAAATAAAACCACTCAGGAAAGGGTAGCTAAACTGATGAATATTGTCCTGTGAAATGTGAAGAGGATCGAAAAAATGCGAAGTCCCACAATGCTTCGAAAATTTCAAGGAATCATATCAACGTTTTTCTCATATATTTTCATTAGTTTACTTTTTTTCTCTACAATTCTTATTCCATTTACTTTGTTTTTTCGTCCTGGTTCGAAGTATATCAAGGTTGAATTGGTTGACTTCTATACAAATTGCTGTTCTGACCTTAATATTCCAATGCCTTCTAAGTGAAAAATTAAACACTGACCAAATCACTGTACTCAAGAATCCCTAATCTATCAAACAATAATCATTCTCAGTTATAAACTTACAAAACAGCCATTATGCATTTCAATATAGCAAAAATATTCATACAGACATCTATAAAACACAAAATAATCGAGCAAAGAATATTCTTTTCGATAAATTCTTCTTCTGGCTCTACAGTTATATATATATATATATATATATATATATATATATATATATACAAAATATTCAAGATTGGTAGTTAATAACAATATTGGTGTTTTCTAAATAATATCGATTTGTAAAGTATGATCAATGCAACTACAGTTCACTAAAAATGCTTAAATTATAATAGTAATAAAGATACAATGGGGAATAGAATATCAACTAACATTAGGAGATTTCCACAAAAATTGAGGATCATTCAAACCTAGATGGCCAAGGTAAGGACAGCGTCTGGACTAACTTCTTTTGGATGCATAAATTAGGCTTTTTAATGTGGATCCCCATAGCCTCAGCAATATGTAGTAGTCGAACTCTTGAGGCTAAATTGAGATTCGTAGGTATGCGGTAAATGACCCTGAAAGCATGGTTAACGTCAATCTTGTGTTCTGTCTCCACAAGATGAGCCAGAATAGCGCCACGAATAGATTTTGTTTGACCTTTGCTTAACCACGCAGGGTGATGTTCGGAAATTAAACGAGAAACACGCCTAATTGTCAAACTTATGAAAGAACTCACACTATCAATAAAATGTTTAAATTTCCATCAAAAAGATCAATACAGTAGTCTATTTTAAGTAAAAAGTAAATTTACCTTTAAATTGAATAGGCAGTCGATCACTTTATCAGTAGGCTGAATGTTAGCATAAAACGCAGCATGATTATATAAACATCCGATTGTAACGAATGGTGAAGGATATGTGACTTGTTCACAACAACCAGTTGTGTGTACATAACGACGTCCAGTTATTGCATCCCAAAATGTGATTTTATGATAATTATCCTTCAAGTTAATTAATAATAAAAAGTATCCAGTAATATCAACAAGTTAACAATGAAAAATGTTTGTAAGATACACTAAAACACTAAATCTTGTTCAGAATATAGGTAGGGAAGTCATGACCAGTTGGGTGCAACAGGTCGGATATGAGGACAAATACTCGCCGAAGACATTGGCTAGCGGTTGCGCTATGTCGTGAATTGGCAGAAGTTAGAATTCATGGACTGGCCATTGGATCGGGTCCCATTGGCTTAATGGTCTACGAGCTCGCCTCCTGGGTTTCGAACCCCCGTGGGTGGGTACTGATGAAGAGTCCCAAACTGGGACGAAAAAGTTATCCAGTACTCCCAGGTTTTCCGATGGTTCTCTAACCAATATCAGCTCATGATGAAATCCTGTAACCATATCTTTTGTTGATTTATTCAAATGCAATGAAAAGTCATTGTGTTCGATTGCCTGAGTTCATCTTGAGTCTCGTGTATTTAACCATGTCTTAACGACATACCAATTTCTCTTGCTATGTATAATTTCCTTCTGTATACTACAAGTCTTAGTGTGCATTGCTTTTTCTATATACGCATTTATTGAAATAGGTTTGAAAAAAGTACAGAGAAAGAGTATGGGGGAAGTAAAGAGAAACAATGGAGCTGAAAGATTAATAGGGGGCAATGCATATAAAACGACTATTATTATTATCTCCTTTAGTTCCCAGAGGAACATCGGGTTTCAGCCGCACGTCTCTATTGAGTTCGGTTCTCCACCAACGTTTTCATCTGGCTCTACGTCTGACAACATGCCTTCATCTCCTATTTGTATCACCTCCCCTATATCACCCTCCCATTAACGACCAACTCGCCGCTTTCCATTCGGATTCCATTCGAGCAATGGCCTGGCGTGTGATGTCACTCACTTGATGACTTGTTTTCTCAGAGTATGGCCAATCCACCTCCATTTCTTCCTGCATATTTGTTGCACAATCGGTTCCTGTTGGGTTGGTTCTCTTATTGCCAGAGATCTCTGTTGCTGATCTTTTCTGCCTGGCCATCTGATCTTGAGTAGCATTCAGCAAACATAGCTGTTGATAAAGGTCTGTAGTTTGTTCGCAGCGCTCTTCGTGACGCAGCGCCAAGTCTCCGATCCGTATAGTAACACTGACTTTTCTAAATTAAACACCCACTTTAGCTGAAATTACTTTTCTAGGAGGTCTGTAGCTTTGCAAGTGTTACACATCACCTCAATAGACAAAAACAACATCATTGGATGATGATCTCCCATTCATTACCGAACACTTTGCAACCAATCTTAGCATTGTTCTGTCTTCGGTCCTGATAAAATTGGACAACGCTTCGATGATGTTTGTGTTCAAAAAACTCTGTCAATTAATCACATCTTCCAGCCTCAACAACCATGACACACAACCAGTGAAAATGCTGTTCCCTTTCATTTGCATTAAAATAATCTTTGTATCGCATGTTATTTTCGCTTCTTGTTAACTACTATTCTCATGCCCTAATAGAAAGTGTTCAGTTAGCGGGCACAACTTATTAATGCTGGATATTAATGTTGCCTGCATCCTTCAGCTGACAATAGTTGTGTCTAAAATACAAGATCAAAACAACCAGATACTAGATGGTTGGAGATAATCGGCCACAGGAAGCCTTGGACCTGGGTTTCGCGCTAGTTGGCACTCATCAGCAAGGCTTCCTGTTGATTGCTTCCAACCATCTAATATCGTCAAATCAATGTGCGCCGTGATGGCGAGCTACATAGAATGGTGGCCACATTACAAACCTGACTGACAGAATTCAGTCCGCATCAAAGAAAGGACTAGACACATCATACTAATTACTAGTATCCAATCAAAACAACCAGATGCTGTCTACTTTCGTATGTTCCATTTTCAACGTTATAAGCTACCTACTGTGGATATGAAAACAGTTTTGTGCATGAATACAGACGTTTTAACTTTCATTTGTAGGAGTAACTAATTCGCAAAAATTAATTAGCCAACAGTTTTCATCATTAAGCATTGAGTGCAGACCCTCACTGTTTAAACCAACCGGTTAAATTTGAAGGTATGCGGTCAAACATTTACGCCATTTGACAAACTGTTGTGTTACGTACGTCTGTTTGTTCTTACATGCTCTCTAGTTAGCTAAGCATATCACTGACCTACATTACTTACCCCCTAAATATAGTTCTTATCCTGGATGCTCAAATGGTTGTTCCCTCTTGGTTTCAACCACTGGTCATATAAAACAAGTACATTGAGGGTTGGAGAATACAAATAATTGGCATTGGTATACAAGCATATCTTCCACACTCATGAACACCCTTCATCACATCAAACAGGTATGCTTTCTAACTGTTAAAAGTATAAACTTCGAATGGTAACAGACCAATCGACTTATTTGAGATAATAGAAAAAATTATTTGCAGATTATTTTCACTTGAAGATAGTTAAAGACCGTAGATAACATGTCTCAAAAATAGTCTGATTCAGTTCAAATCAAAGTTAGAGAAATTTTATTGTTTTTAGAACTACTCTTCTGTGTTCCCTTTCTCCTTCATTTTTACCAATTATTATTATTATTCCCTTGGGTTCCTAGTGGAATATAGGACTTCAACTGCACGTCTCCACTTGCTTCTGTCTTCTACTGTACTTTTCAACTCCTCTTCACACGATCTCCTCCATATCACCCTTGCACTGACGTCCCACTCGCCTCTTCCCTTTCGGCCTGGTTCCACTCGAGCAATGGCCTGACGCGCGCGCGATGTCATCCAGCGGCCCGGCCTCCTCAGCCACGAGTTTCCAATTCATCTCCACTTTCTCCTGCATATTTATTAGTTGGCGATTGTTTTGTTTTTTCCCAGCCATAGTTTCTTGTTGGTGATTCTTTCCGGCTCAGCCATCTGATCTGATAGAGCGAAGACAGTTGTTGGTTGATAAAGGTCTGCGACAGGCTGTTGGAAATATTCTTTGTGACCCGCCCACCCTCCAAGTTTCTGATCGATCCGTATAGAAGAGCTGACTGACTTGACGTTTGTATTGAAAATCCGACGGAATTTTGTTGTTGATGCTGGCTGAGTGACGAAGATTTCCAGATTGGTTTCAGTTGGTTGATGAATGTGTTTCTCGCCTGCCTTCCCGATTCTCGCTCGATTTGACATCCTCGTCCGTTCCTCCGTTCCTGTAGTTGAGACAATGCCACCTAGATAAGTGAATGAATGAGGTTACCTCTTTCAAATCCCTCCCGTTGATGGTGATTGTCGCTGGATGTTGCTGCTTTTATTGTTGTTGGTTGGTTATTTTCATAACCTCCGTCTTGTCTATGTTCACATGGAGTCCTGTCTTCACCGGCTGCTTCTTCGACCAGTTTGTTGGTGTTCGCTTGTAAGTCTTCGATTTTGTGTGATATCAAACATAGATCATCCACGCGCGAAATTCGAGTCTTCCAGGTTCTTCACGTCGGTCCAGGATATCCCTGTCTTATTGTTTCCCACTGTCTGACGCATAATCCAGTCCACCAATAATGACTCTCTATTCCTTATCTTTTCTGTTTTTCCCCTGTTAAATATTATACCTTGAAGTAATTATATTTTCAAGAGGCTCAGCATTCCCGTGTCTTCCTGTCTATCTGTCAAACAGAATGATCAATCCACTCAAAACGTCTACAATCAAGTACCAAAGTTCAAAGAGAACTAAACAACTTCCATTTTTCGACTTATCTTCCCCTTCATTATCATATTACATATGGAAGAATCATTCAATATGTTGGAAAACACTTACAGAACAAACCACAACCCATGCATATGGGTGTAATGGTGTATGTGTGACTTGTTGATTTACATTGAATTGACATGTACCTAAGGCAACATAAGCTTCAAGTCCATAGCCCAATAATAGACAACATAGTAGATTTGCATGATCAGGTACATCACCACGATTAGAAGATACAAAAGCTAATCCTAAAGGAAAAAATGAGTAAATAGGAGTTAAAATGAGAAATTTTCATAATTTTCGTTTCAAGCCAGTGTGCAAATAAATATGTACAAAGACAATGATTCATGAAGTTGCTATTTCAAATGTATTTAAGTAAAATAACGATCATAGATAAAAAGGAAGAAAGCTGAAATTTATTCATGATCGTGTTTTAAGTTAGATTTCATGACGAACCAACATCAGTTAGAAGGATGACTGAAAAACCGGGGAGCACTGGGAAGCGTTTCGTCTTATTTTGGGACCCTTCATCAGTAAGTACATACGAGGGTCTATAGTTTATGGACACTAACTCCGGTGGAATCGTGGGGACGTACTGATGAAGAGTTTTAAAACAGGACGAAACAGCTGTTTAGTGCACCCTGGTTTCTGATAACCTCCTTGACCAGTTTTGGTTCATGACGAAATCTACCTGGAATTAAATGGATAACAATTTAAATCATGGGTTAACGTCGGTGGCACAGCAGTTAAGACTCTCGCCGGTCAAGCACATGGTCCGCGTTTCAATCCCCTGCCAACGCACACCTGATATCAAAGGTCGGCCTTCAGAATTTGGGCTACCGATATCACACGTGGAAAATGCCATACTTGTACCGAAAATACGGTCTGGAATCCAGTCAGAATCAAAAATTAAATTAAAAATTAATTAAAATTGTCGGGAATCAAACAGCAAAGGATAAGTCTCTCTTATACCATTAGGAGCCTACAACCCCTAGTGAAATCAAAGCTAGGACCTTCATCTTAGTCGATTCGCAGCGTGGTACAGTCGGTTTGCGATATAACTGTTGAACACTGAGTATGGTTAGACACATTGATCTTGAGTTTTTATTAAAACTTTGTAAAGTCGTACCATTCTTCAAAAACCTATTGATTAAATTAAGCAGTGATTCGCTATTGATAACCATGAATACAGTGTTTCAGCCCAAAATATTCTCAGCAAGCAAAGTACTAAAATTAACGATAGGTAGACAGCAGGTAAACAGTTATAAAACCAAAACAAATGCATATCGATTTAATTTGCTTTTTTATTTTTGTAACACAATGAAGTAAAGGCGTAAACGGAATGGGGGTAAAGTAGGCTTCATAAAAAAGAAAAACAATATCTATATAACCTTAGCATAAACCTACTGCGAATAAAAGTAACTGTGATTAAGAATAACAGATGTTAGGAAAACGGTAGATAATTAATAAGAATTCTTTATCAGGTTGGCCATCAAATTGCTTCACTAACTACTCTTTTGACAGACTAATAAGCCAAATATATAGCACGGATTTATAGATATAATCTAGCAGTTATTCATCACGCTTTTCATTCACCTAGATTCCTGCGAAAACAACTAAAAGGAGTGGAATAATTCAATAAAATGATCTACTAGGTGAACTCACCAGAACACCAACGTTCTTTTATCCCTGATCCAACACCATGGAATGGTTCATATGGTATAGTGGAAATAAAACGTACAGCTACATATGGAGTCTCAATTACATAACTCACACTCAGAGGATTAATGTAATTGCAGACAAATCTGTGAAATGTATAAAAGTAAGTAAATTTTAAACAGTTGACATACCATTACCAAAGTGATGGTAACCTCTTAGACAAACATTTAGTTTTACTTATTTTAAGCCAGCTCCAGATCGGTTTGACTATGCACCAGGTTGCTTGAGGTAAATAAATATTCCAGTTATATAGTTAAATGAAAAAATTGAAAAGCTGTCGATTTATCACACCTATGCACTCCAGTAGCCAGCATTGAGTACTCCAAATGGACACTGTGTTGATATCATATATCTGTGAACTAACTTGATTCAGGGCAAAAGTGATCTAGTGTCAGTGTTGCTCAAATACAAAGCTGAATATTTCATCCAGTGAGGTGTACTCATATAGTGACTGATTTGAATTCCAAACTATAAATAATAATCAAGCAGTGAGTACTTACTCCAGAAACAAAATCGATTGAGAGGTATCTAAAACCACCAAGATAGTTGCTTCCTAACCAATATGCAACGCTTAAACTACATACTATACGATGAAAATATTAACCCTGCAGCTTACATCTTTTAACTCGATGACTTTTAATTTCTCGTTAGTTCGCAAAAAAGTTAGTATCTAGTTAATGTAATGTAATTTCGCCCAACTACTTATTCACTTTCAGTAGTGTAACAAAGACTACAATTTATATAATGGACTTCAAATTTCAATAAAGATTGATATGATTTTCAGCAATACAGTAGTGTTCGAAAAGTCATCCAATTATCACTGTATGTTATATCAAAGGAACTTATATTGAATTACATTCTACCACAGTAACAGAACTCAACTCCCGCATCTAACCAATTCCCCTTTTCTAGATGCAAAATAACCTCAGGTGTTATTGTCATTTGAATGTCTTACCGAAAAATTATGAGTCACACTAAAAGAAAGAAATATTCTGCCATTTGGGGTTACGCAACAAATGAAAGTTGAAGTGGGCACCTATTGGTCCTGTTATACAGTGGTATAGTCTTAATATTTTACTGAGTGACTAATGTTATCCTGTGGTACCTAGAAGTTCAAAGACTGAGAGTATGTTACTGAGAAGTCTTTTCGTAACTTTACAATGTGCGTCGGTGACACAGTGGTTAGGACTCTCACTCACCATGCACATGGTCCGAGATTCGATCCCTTGCCGACGCACACCTGATATCTATGGTCGGGCTGCAAAATTTAGGCTACCGATATCACATGCTGAAAATTCCATACTTGTACCGAAAATACGGTGTGGAATCAAGCTGTAATCAAAAACAATTTCTTAACGACACTAGCTGTTGAAGCAAGTAAAGCCACAAGATTTGTATAAAATCTGATTCTGTTATTCGCTTATTTTCATAAGCAACCAGAAAACTGAGCAGCTATACCACTGATAAAATCTTTCATCATAATACAACACCTTGTGTTTCAAATAAAAACAAGTTAATCAAAGTGTTAAAAAAACTGACTGTGTATGTCCATTCTCATCAGTAGCAAATATTTTAACAAGTCGATCTGCGAAAAAGCCTTCACGTAATTGTGTCAGTTCACGCCACCATTGACGAACATAATTGGTAAATGAATTTTCTCTTTCAACAGCTCGGGCTGATTCTAACTGAAAATGTGCTTGTGTTAATGAAGGTGAGAGTTGTTTTAATCTATATGAGCCACGGTGAGTTATGTTAGACTTTTTCGAATCTAGTGGATTTTCTGAACGATGACAGTATTTTGTTTCAGTGAATTCTTTAGGACTTATTAAAGAAAGCCGTAAATCAAGAATACCTGCAGGTACCTAGAAATAAGGCAGATAAATAAAATTTTAAAATTAGTATACAAACAGGATTGACATATGACATATAAACTTAATGAATAAACTCAAACTTTCAGAAGAACATTTACACTTGGAGTTCGCCTTATTAAAAATATACGAATTGACTCGATTTTCATATTTAGGAGGAAATAAACTAAAGTACAAACTAGATATAATGCAAGGGAGACTCCAACTGGTAATGTCTCAGTTATCCCTGAAGAGTGAGGCCGTTCAATATTAAATGTATCATTCCTCAAAGCTAATTGTTTTTTGAGCCAGATATTTGGCCGTCAAACACTCTTATGTCATACTAGACATCTGTTCAGCTAAACGGAAAAGCGATTGGCTGGACTACGCATGAATTTCTACGCCATCCATGACAAAACTGCAACTTCACTGTACTTCATTCAAACAAAGGAGAACAACTGCTAAGCTGAATGCATTTTACTTTGAGAAAATTGAAGGAATATAAATTAATAAGGTTTGACTTGAGCTTACACTTCTACGGATTAACCAACTCTCCTGGTAACTGTAAGGAAGAAGTTTGTAGATATTCAAGCTGTTGTTATTACTACAGCTTTCGAGGGGAAGCTGATGAGTCGATTACGATCAGATAATTGAATCGTTATTGTTGGATTCAGTTCTCCACTTACTTGTAACGAAAATACACTGACCATAGTACTCACTTACTTAATGATGGACAGATAAGGTACAAGCTCATTGTACGCAACCACAATTAGTTAACAAAGTATTGACCGAACAACAAATAAAGTGTAAAAAGCCTAAAACGTAGGCAATTCAGAGTTATTTAAATTTTTACCTCATCAGTAATCGTCAAGAAACATGCATAAAAACCAACAGACACTATATTGTACTCCTATGGCAATTTCCACAGCTTTGCCATAACATTTCCAGCTTCATCAACAGAACATAAGTAGTGCTTAAGAATAAATGTGATACTTAATATTAGTCAATAACCATTCAATGGGAAGTTAACTGGTGCATGGTGACTAGCAGTGGAATCCAGGATGTGCATTTCGTCCTATTTGCGACTAGTCATCTGGATGTTCCTACATTCCGCAGTGAGTGATGATGTTTCCACCGAGACTCGAATCCAGTGTCCATAGTTTCAAACGTCAAAGTGTTGTCCACTAGATCACTTGGGCCAAGAAAGTCACATCTTGTGCAACGGGTCATATCAATTATTTAATTGAATTTTAGATTTTCCCGTCGATTGATTGAACCGAAGTGCAGTGGGTTCAAGCCTCGGTGGGAACATCATCACTCACTGCGGAATGCATAAACATTCATCTGACGGGTCCAAAACAGGATGAAATGCGCATCCTGGATTCCATTGCTAGTCACCATCCACCAATTAACTTCTAATTGCATGACCAGACATCGTCGAAGCATCTGCACAAGAAGCCTACATGTCAACCTGAGACCGAGTACTTCGCTCCGATCAATTGACGTGAAAACCTAGAATTCAATTAAACTATTCAATGCATTAGTAAGATCAGCTTCGCATTTGTGTTCTATAAAAAGATGGACAAAAATCTATGCCACAGTGATCCTAAAGTCTGTTATTTTTGGTTCTTTAATAAGACACTGTATTGATCATGTGAGAGCTGTGAATCAGATCTTTTTCATTTCAACTATGTACTGTTTGTTCACCTTTTATGTTATTTAGAGAAAGTAGAATAGCTGTTATTTATTATACTTGTAAGCAAGTTAGTTCTCGATAATACACATTCCCAGTGAATATTTCTAATTCGCACGCGTTTTACCATAATGATTATACTTCATGATTGTCATGCTATAAGTAATGCTGAGACTTCTGACGGGTCATTGCAAAAACCTACTAAGATTCTTGGCAACAATGACATCTACAGTTAATGAGAGAGTATGCTTGTTTTATTCAAGACTGATTTCTTACTCTAAAATCAAAGGATTATGGATACTGATAACATATTTTGTGATACCTTACTGCCCAGGTGATTTCGTAAACCAGTAAATAAATATTTTAGTTTTAAAATACTTTGATAATTACCACAGATATAGAGTTAAACTTCTTAAGGACTATTTACCCTGCTCAGGAAAAATGTATTAGTAATAGAACTCTAATTTTTATACAGCCAATAAAAAATTATCTCATCTGTTTTTATTCCGAGCAGAAATTAAGGGAGGGCAAGACATAAATATGACCATTCAGTTTGGTTTTGAGAGGACAAAATAGTTATTCTAATTATGCTGAAAAATTTCAAGTTCTGATAGATTACTTGAAGTCGACCACTATGCACTGAAAATATCCAATCGACAGTTAACCAGTTTGACTACTGAAATATGGTGTTATGCAGGCCAACAAATAACAGACAATCGTGTTGTATTTTTTTAATGGCAGGAATTTGAAGGGTAAATTTTTTTATACAAACCCCCAACAGTTTGACGCACAAATCCAAACGACGGCTGACTATAAATATAAACTGTGATGTATTTAGGTCGTTTAATTATAAATCCACTTATTAATATCACAGACAGTTGTATCTTTGTCAGTAGTTTATACAATAGGATAAAATTAACAACATGCATAGTGTCACTATTATTTGACTGTCAAGGATCTTTTTACCCATCGTTCACTTGAATTTACTTTGAATTATTAACCGAATAAAGACCCTTCTGGCTACTGAATTTTCGAATAAAATTGTTTCGGCTACCTAAAATTCAGGCCTGAATAGTATTCATTTAGTCACTTTTTCACTGAAAATTCCAAAATAACTTATCAAAATACATTTATCAAAAGGTTTCCCTCATTTTACTCTTCAAACAGTGCTATCTAAACGAATGAGCTCTTGAATTAAATTTGAGGTCTTGTGGTTTTTACAACCTCAGCGTATTGTTTGAATATAAACTGACTTGAATTAAACGAGCGTTTTCCCCCTGTCACCTAGCAATAGTGCTTGCTTACAGTGAATTATAGTGATAGATTATACTCCCTTTGAAGATGCTAATAGACACTACATTAAATCACAATAAAACGTCACCAGTTATTAAGGAAACAAATAAATGTAAAGTTCATCGAAAATAAAATTAAAATTATATCCGCAATGAACTAACTTACTTTGCAATCAGGATCTGTGCTCTGTAGTTCCAAAGATGCATTGGTAGTCCAGTGATAAGGGTTGACTTCTGTACACTTCGAGTTACCCAGAAGGTATGGACGCCAATCAAAGTAGGCTGAAGCAACTAAACTCCTTCTTCCCGTCGATAATTTAGTTGATGTAATTACAATTTGTATTAAGGAGATGGGTTTACCGACCAATAGTTGTTCAAGATTTAACTTGTGAAGACAAAAATACGAGTAAAGGACTTCACGTGGATGAGAATGGAAAGTATCTAACATTCTTTAAGCTTCACTGTGATAAACAGAACAGTTTTAAAATAATATAACCTAAAAACATCAGTCCTAAAAAGCGTGATAATCTTTGTGATCTCTCAGTGATTCCACGAAGAAAAAGCACAAAATAACTATAAATTGCATGGAAAACGGAAAATACGACTATTTAGCAACAAAAGTAGTTCTGAAAGCTAATAAACCGCGTTTCTTTATGCTTTTTAAACTTCTCTATATAACCAGTGTTCGTGCTTCAAGAGTCCCCAAGCTATTTGTATTCTTAGAATACCATTCACAGACGCTGCAGTGAAATCTCCTAATGACGGACCACATTACATATGCCACTACTCTGTAGAATATTGGATTTAGAGGTGAAAGTTCAGTGTATTGGACCTGCCAGTTTTAACCTGAAACTAGCATATAAAATACTACGTTTTCAGTGGGAGGCAGCACCAGCTCATCTAAGTTACTGCACTTAGAACACTACACTATAATATGAATTGGACTTTAAAATACATTATATACACAACAGTATATAGTAGTCTTGAAAAAAATAAATTTGAAAGCCAGTGTAGTCCTTAGGTGGATAGGGTTCTTCATAATCTTAGTACAACAAAAGGCTGAGTGTTGACAGAATGCTGGATAACTTTTATTGAATTTTTTAGGTAGATTCAGCTTACAGCACATAGTAACAATAATTATTCTAGTCTAATCATGATTGCATTTTATGCACATATGTGCATAAAAAAGTCTGCAGACTTTTTTTAGTTACACAGACGTTAAATTAGAACAAAACATGATTGTAACAAAAACCTACATCTTTTTTTTCATCAGTGTCGTCAGAATGAAGTTCAAAACAAAAGGACTGGTTGATAACTGGTTCTGTGGAACAGTGAAAGTGTCTGCCGTGAAATCTAGAGTTTTTATACCCTATGTCCAGTTGCATTTTAATATCAGAGCTTTTAGATTCCTCAATTTGGATATCTTCGTAAGTTTGAAGATGGTTTGTGAATGCCCTTCCTTGTAAAATCTCAACAATTAAGATCAGCTTGGCATTCGGTATGTGGAAATTACTATCTTGAAAACTCAAATCATGTCCAGCACTTAAAACAGATTTTGATTTCTCCTTGGATTTGATTATGTGAACCAGCTTATCAACAATACCTTTTGACCTTAACAATTCTAATAATTGACACTTATTTCCAGGGAAAGCATCACTATCTTCCAATCGAATGGCTGATTTTATTTCAGATATGATTTCTTCTTCTGATAATGCCTCAGTAATTAGATTGTACAATCCAGTCATGGGAATATATCAGATAACTGACAGTAAACACTAGTTGTTAGTATTTCAAAATTGCACAAGTTACATCAAGGTCATCTGAGGAGCTACAGAGCAAAATTCAAGTTCTATATTTCTATTTTCCTTTTTCGTGGTACTAAGGAAGAGTGTTCACCAATAAATAACAAGGTTGTTATTTATTTAGAGAAAACTGGAAAGATCGGAATGATTGTCTATTGGAAGACACCATATGCCAATGATAAACTGTGTGAAATGTAATATTGGTCTCTACTTTTTGTGCATATGAGTACTTCACAGACTGTTTCACCATTTTGTTTTCTGTAACAACAGAAAGTTATTAGTATCCTTGGAATTGAAGTGTGAACCCACATTACCTCTCTGTCCTTCGGCACAGAAGAGTACCTTCCATGGACAGGACACCTATGCTGCTCCTACTATACTCGATAAGCCCTTCAGTGCCAGTAATGAAAATGCCGACACAAGGAAAAGGCGTATTAGGGGTAGAAAAAAGCAGCTTAATTCGCAAACGAACTTGTGGATCAAGCCCCATCCTCACTGGTGGATAGAAGGCAGACACAATCGACAACAGGTAGTGAGGAGGACGCCAGTGAATAGCGTAATGTAGTCTCCTGTAAAAAGGGAGATAAAGACACCATAAGTACCACACTGTCCACGAATCATGGAGAGTGACTTACATCACAGAGAAACAAAGCCACCGCCAGCAGACCTTATCTCTCCAACAAGCCATACAATCTCTACTGAGTGGTAGAATTGCCGGCTTCTGATCCCAAGGTCAGGTTCGAACATGGCCTCAACTTGGTTAAGGCCCTCTTGAATAAGCTGCTACCAACGACAGTATCAGGTGTAGAATCAACCAAAAGACTAACTCTGCAATAAATCAGCCGGTACGCATCCTCAAAGTCGCACTAAACTCAAAAGAATAGAAGGATTCTGTAACAATAACCCCCAAAATGTTAGAGGATCAGGCAATACATCCGTGTCGACCTGTGTCTAGCAGACTGCATAAAAAGACAGTCTGTGTCTCTAGAATTAAGCAAACGACGCCGAAATGTCGAGAAAACCCTTAAGATTAAGGGTTTTCAGATCACCTCTGTGGGTTGGCCTCAGAAGCACCTAACTGAGTGAGTAGTTTGCTACACAAATGCCCGCAGCCTGATGAACAAACGCACGGGCTGTGTAATATGATAGACTCCGGAAATCTGGATGTAATTGTCATTACACAGACATGGCTCACACCTGGTGTCACTGATAACGAATTCACACTGCATAGGGTGAACCGACTAAGCCTCAAAGGAGGTGGCATAGGCAAAAATCAATTTTTAAAAAAATTTACCCTTTTTTACAAACTTATTTTCCGGTTTAAAATATATAGTTGTGCCTTCGACTCTCCGTCTTCTCCACCATCTCAACTGCCGTCGATCAATCCTAATCACCTGCTTTCTATCTCTGATTTTTGCAGGAGCACCGTAGTTTCTTCCTACGTACTTTGGTCGACCTCCGGCAACGTTAACATTGGAGAATTACTACTGGAGCAGTCTTTCCGCAGCACCTGGAGTCTATTACGTTTATTGTGGACTGAGGACCTTTGTAAACTCAAGTAATCAAACTTTAATACATTCTTCCCGTAACTAAACTCATTTGGTATTTTATTTTCTACTTGAATTTGGGTAACTAAGCTAATAGAGTGAAAAGGTCCACCACACATAGTCATCTACCTTGAGGAGTGCTAAGCCGTGCGCAGCATCGAAGCTCTCTTACACGAAAGTGAAACTTGCGAGCTTCTACTCTGCAGACTTTAATACGTAGGCTAAGATAATGACCTCGCTGCCATATACTGAAGTCCTGACTGCAGTGCAGATGACTTCTCGATAGAGAAGCTAGGCTCCCGGATATCGAAATATCGAAATCTTGAAGTCATGGGAATTCAACTCCCCAAAAGTTGACTGATCAAGCCTCCCAAAGGCATCCCCAGACAACTCTTTTGATCGCCAACTGCTGGAATCTAGCCTTCCGCTAGCCCTAGTTCAAAATGTCATGAAGCCCGCGTGCCACGACTCACAGCACCCCTCTTCAATCCTGGACCTAGTGTTCTCCATGTTGAGGGTGTGGACCTCTTACAACATCTTCCTCCTTTAGGAAGAAGCGATCACGCTGTACTTACTTCCAAGTTCACAGCAGCAGTATCATGAGACAAAACCTCAGCTCGACCAAATTTTCGGAAGGCTGATATAAATGTGATGAACTCAGCAGCCAACTCAGTCAACTGGTACATAAAACTGGAGTCACAAATAGAAGCCGCACGGAACCAGCTTAAACCACATTACGCCCAAGAAACTGAACCTTTCATCCCTTGGTCTGCTTCAAAGAGTAGGAACCACAGGCCTCCTCTGATAAACCAAGATATCAGTAAATTACTCAGGCGCAAAAACAAGCGCTAGGACCTGTTTATCACACCTGAGACTCCTAAGAACGGAAAGTTATGCAACATCGTTAGGAACAAAGTTATTGCAGATATCCGCTAATCAAGGATGAAGTTCGAAGTGCGTCTGGTTGAAAAATACAACGACACAACCTGAGAAAATGTTCTTGCGCATGAACTTCAGGAATTAAACACTCAATGATGTCGCAGACCTGGCTGTTAACAATGACACAATCGAAGAAGATCAAGAAAAGGCAGAAGCAATGGCAGACTACTTCTCCAAGTGTTTACACAGGATAATAATATATATATATCCCTGATATCTATGGTCGGCCTGCAAAATTTAGGCTACCGATATCCATGCTGAAAATTCCATACTTGTACCAAAAATACCGTGTGGAATCAAGCTGTAAATCAAAAATCAAATCTCTGTAGGACACACCAGTTTTACAGTCATGGACAAGTATTATTTAAATTACATACATTTGATTTCTGGTGGAATTACATGGTTGCTGTTCATTTTGACTTTAGTTTGTGGGTACAATCTGCTAACTAGTCATTCCATGGACCACATTAAGAATTAAAAACATTGTCTTTGCATTAACAAAAAAAACCCGTATGTATTGAACGGATTACAAACGTTTGGGAAAAAATAAAGCTTGAAGTCAATTCCTGCATGTAACTCTGTTGTGTGCGGCGTCAAATCCTATTCTTGATTCATTCCAAATTAGGTATTAATTTGAAATAATTTATTTGTATAATTTTGGCAGTATTTTTATCTTATGTAAAGTGAAGTGAATTGTACTAAATGCTGATTAATATTGGTTATTGTCAGGTAGATTTGTTTTACTGCGCCCATGTTAGTCAAAACCGCCATTTGTCGCTGCGTGGTTGTTCTGTATGGGTAAGTTGATTAACGCGTAGAAAGCTTTTTGTAAGCCGTTTTAGATCATTTATTCTGCTTTTATAGGATGCTGTACAGCGTCTTGTTATGGTGACAGAGGATATCCCAAGGAGACGTCACTCCTTATAGGGTCACCTCTGGCCAACCTCCGTTGATGTCGACCAAGACTTTGCGCTCGACTGCCAAATGAAACTAAATGCAGGGAAATCTAATGGACCTGGTAATGTGCATCCAAGGCTTCTCAGGGAGAAATCAGCTCACACAGCTGGCCCATAGACCGCGATCATCAGGATATCTGTCCTAAATAGTGTTGTGGTGAGAACTAGCTGCTAGCCAGATTGGTAGACAGTAATTTACGTCATTGTTTAATGTCCCAAATATTGGTCGTGAGAAAAATAAGAGCAAAGACTGATTTAACAACCAGTCACAGCAGATTTTGCGTAGACGGAGTTAATTAGCAGATAGATAATCTGACATTTAAGAAACAGCCACAAAGAGATGAAAATTGACTTTCAGCGAGAAACAACTAATGAGAAGACTGTGGTTTTTCAACTGAAAATAATCTATAATAATGTGCATGAGAATCTATAAATGTGTTGATTTCCTTAATAAACGATATGTCGCCGGGCCCTTGTCTTCTGTTGTTACATTGTTACGCGCGACTGGGAAGACGCCACAGTATGCCTCATCCACAAGAGATGATGAAGATAAAGCCCCTCAAACTGTGTCCATTAGATTCACCAACACCTTAATCAAAATACTGGAAGGAATCGTCAAGAGAAGTATCATGGCATAACTGGAAAACAGCGAGCTGTTATCCAGAGAACAGCATGGCTTCCGAGGAAACATCTCGCGCCTGTCAAGTCCCCTCACTCCAAGGGAAAGTTTGATCAAATCAAGGGATAACAGAAGACTTCGCCGAATCCTTCTATAAAGTTCCTCACCAATGACTTCTCATGAAGTTGGAAAGTCTTGGGATCACAGGTATCTTACTAAGCTGGATTAAGGAACCCCTCATGGATAGGAAGCAGAGGGTCAGGATCAACTCAAAATTTTTCTACTGGATAGCAGTGAACAAAGAGGTGTCACAAGGCACAATACTCAAACCACTCCTATTTATTTTGTATACCAGTGAGTTAACAGTGCTCACGGATTTCCCAATGGTCCTATATGCAGATGACTTGAAAATCTAAAGAGAGCTGTAGGGTGATAGTGATACGCTCACGTTGAAAGAAGACCTCAATAAATTATTACAGCGGTTCAGGGAACGGATGCTCCTGATCAGTGCAGCTAAATGTACAACCATGCTCATTGGACACGCACGCATCAGCTTCTACGAACTAGTGGGAATAAAACCCCCATCAGTTCAAACTCATTTGTATTTAGGCGTCATAGTAAACCAAGACCTAAAAGCTACAGCACACCGTCGCACGGTGGCTGCATGTGGTTTCAGATCCTTGTGAGCGATTCGCAGAGCCCTCGCCAGGACCACCAGAAATATGTTCACCTCCTCATATACATCTCATTCTTATGGGCTTAAGACTGGAAAATCATATCCAAATAGCCAGTCCCTGTCTTAAAGGGGACTCAGATATTCTAGAAAGGGTTCAAAGGAAAGCAACACGTATGATTATTGGCATGACTAATTTGCCATATGAGGAGAGACTAGACAGCTTAAATCAAGAGAATGACGACAAAGAACAGATGGTAAGTA